AATAAGGTGCATTACTACTAGTACTACCATATTCGTAATTGCTTTCTCCGTGTAAAAACCAAACTTTATATCCCGGCGTAAATCCATATCTATATAAGTGATTCCAAACACTATGCACCTTAACACTAATTCTATTACAGCAATTAGAACATGGACATTTGATATCCTGACCTTTTTTTGCTGCATCTTGATTTCTGGGTAAATTCATGAACTCGCATATACCTGCAGCGTATGCGGACGTTAATAAGTTCGAGCCCTCATCCATNATTGGCTCGTCCATCCAAGACCGAAAATATGAACCCATCGCGAATAATTTTTTTGGTTTTTTACAGTTGTGTTATGAATTGTGTTATGAACCAAGATCAGAAATGCCGCAGATTATATAGAACGGATTTCCGTCGGAAATCCGTCGGAATTCCGTCGGAAATCCGTCGGAATTCCGTCACAACACTCCGACATAACACCCCACTAATCCCATCGGCCACCGCTAACGAAATGGTAACCACTCAAAATTTGCCGATATCAAATTTCTGACAGAATTCCGACGGAATATGTTCCGTCGGTATGCGCTGACCAATCAAACTTTGCCGACATCGGAAATATCCGATTTCCATCGGAAATCCGTCGGAAAGTCGTCAGAATATACCGACGGTTTATATTTGTCGGAAATCCGTCGGTACAAGACGACGGATTTCCGATGGAATACCGACGGTTGATAAAACCGTCGGTATTCCGTCGGAAATAACCGACGGATTTCCGACGGTTTGCGTTTGGTCGCAATTCCATCGTTAAACCGACGGAAAAATTGACCGTCGGAATTTCCGTCGGAAATCCGCCTGTTTTCTTGTAGTGATAGACACAAGAAATTTTCTTCCACATACAATTTTTCAGTGTTTCTCAAACTCTTTCAAATTTTCTCAAACTCATTCAAATTTCAATGTTCCTTGTTCATTTTATTTTGTTAATTTCTTATGTTTAATCGGGAGATTTAATCGTGAGATTTTTTTTATTATTACTTATCAATTGAAAGAAGAAACTATAACTATAAAATAATAGTTTTTAGAAGAATTTCGGAATGGTTGTTATAAACAAATTTTCGAAA